GTGACACTTTCCCTCCCCTCAGAAGAACATTTAATCCATTTGTACACTGCTGTTTTCCTCATAGCATTATCCCCATAAATTTGGGCTAACATATCCCTGATTTCACTTTCACGATTGTCAAATTGAACAAGAAAGTTACTGTTGGTGTGTTGCTCTAATTCAAACTCCGACATTCTCACAACAGCACACAAAAAAATACAACAACAATAATGAACGCCACTCAGCAAGACATCACCACACATTGACATGAACATAGCTGCGAGACACTGATATACCAAGGTCACGAAACTTTCCTGAGTTGTTTGTACAGTGCATGGTGGCAAGTTTGTGAACTTAACTGTCACACCTCGTAGATGTATATTGGTACATTTGCTTTCCTTGAGACATAAGCAAAGTATCTGAGGATGGAAGGAAGGAGATATTATTGCGTCTGGCAGAGGAGATCATGAAACATGCCCTAGCAAGTTCTTCATGATCTGGCTCCTGTCCACCCATCTGCCTGTCTGGCCCAGTCTCACAGAACCTTTCTTCAGCTCTCTGTGCCAGCTACGTTAATTTATTTCACCTCCACAAACCAGCCCTGTCCCCTTCTGTCCTAGGACTTCGGGACACACTTTTCCTTCCAGCTGGAATAGTCTTTCCTGTCATCACCTTGGGAAGGCTTCCCTTAGATGGCGTAAGCCTCCTCACTATTCTCAGAGTACCCTCTCGTCTAGATAGTCTATATTCTAGACCCCTCAAGTGGCAATTAAACAATTAATATAAAGTTAGACGCTCAGTCCCTTTTGCCTTCCAAGGATGTTCCTCCAAGAGGTTAGGGAATTCATCTGTCTCAGTCATCAGTGTATTCCAGCACCTGGAACAATGTCTTGCACACAGCAGGTACTAAGTGCATACTTTCTGAATGGCTTAAATACATTTGGCAGCCAGGATTCTCCATCGTTCCACGTTTTTTCCCTTTCCCTGTTCTTCTGTCCCAGCACTCCTACCCTTCAATGCCTTTATTACAATCACTTACTTATAATACCTCCTCCTAAGATCCCTTTTCCTTGGCTTCTGTATACTTTACAAGCCCTCCTGTGGTCTGCTAGAAGCGGTCCTAGGAGTTGAGATAAAACTCCTCATTTGTTCTTCCCTGTGCCTCTCATCTGGGGGAACATACCTAGGTGTTGTAAATAATTCCTTGAAAGACATTGTTTGGGGTTTGCCTGAGAAGAGGTTGCTACTCAGAGTGTGCTCTGTAGCCAGGCGCATCAGCATTGCCCGGGAGCTTCTTTGAAAAGCAGTCTAAGCCCCACCCTGGTGCTGATTCTGCATCTTAGCAGGATCCTTGGGCGAGGCACATTCAGCATTGCTAGAAAAGAATTATCTCCTAGGACTAGATGGGTAGACAGGAGGCAGCTTTCAGTTATATGAGGTATCCTCTGGGAAGAAGACATGGAGATGGAATCAGGAGTCCAAGAGGTTTATTGGGAAATTGTTTTTTAAGATAAAAGGGATAAATAGCAGAATTCATTAGGAAAAGCGTTCAGACACAGTGCTGATCTGATGTTTGGGAAAGGAAAGAGAGGAATGCTGGATAGGGAGAGGTTCCAACTGCAATCTCAATCTTTCAGTCTTGACCAAGCCACTGGCGAGACTGAGAGCAAGGACGCCTGAGAGCGGAAGACTGCATGGGGCAGAAATGGCCAGATCCTTGTGACCTGCTGGGCTCAGTCACCGGCAGAAGGAAGCCCAGGAAGAGCGCCTGCACGAATGCCAAGGCAGAGCCAGAAGGGGCCCACAGCTGGAGGCCGCCAGCCAACTGCACTCTCACAGCTGAAAAGCAAGCTTTTTCTTTCAGGGAGAGCTGAGCAGCGCACCTTCATGGCTACCACGTGGAACATCTGAAGGCAATTTTGCCCGAAACCTATGCGAACGGGCAAAGTCACGAGAAGCAGATTTAAGAACACTCCACATTAAAGGAGGCTTGGCTTACGTTCTTTTCCAGGACTATTGATGTGTATGTTGCGCTTGTATTCTTCAGGAAATCGTCTCCTGGAGAGTCCCTGGAAGACAAGCTCTAGAGAACTCTCTCCTTGAGGGAGCCCAAGGAGAGCCTATGTGAACCAATATGACCTCCTCGTATTTGCAAGATGCGTGAATCAGTAAACAAGACCCAGTGGTGATGGGTCAAACCTTGTCTTTTCTCAAACCTCACCCTCGCAAGCTCAGTCAGTCCCGGGCTCCCCAGGAGACCTGATCCTGACTGAGGATCTCAGAGCCAGAGAAGAATAAGAATGCGGTGGAGACCCAGAAAGGATGGCAGCGGTCTGGAGGAAGGCATTTCAGAGACCTGTGATTAACCCATGATGCGTCCACATAATGGTTTTCACGTTCATGTCTGTCCCTCACGCACGCACATCTGCAAAGATGGACGACTGCATGCGCAGCTCACATAACAAGAACATTTCCATGTACCAGATTCACTTCCACCCTTAAAAAGCTACATGCCCATCTACTTCCCAAACCCTGACACCGCGTGTATGTCCACCCCTGCTATTGGAATGAACACTTGTGCACCCAGAACCCAGTTCCCAAATCATCCTCTGTGTGGAGACATTCACAGACAAGAGGTTCCAGCACCATATACATAAATCCAAAGCAATAGACAGGGACAAAAGCAGGCAATGCAAGTGGACTTTCCAAAGCACAAAGATTTCATGGTACTTGAAAGTCAAGACACAGCTGGGCACTGTGACTAGAACTGCCAGACACACCTTGAAAGATATTTCCCTTGGCTATTCAGGCCCACTAAGTCCTGCAGGGGCAGGGGCAGGGGCAGGGGCAGGGGAGACGCCCAAGTAGCCCAACAGAAGGACGCATATGGGATCTCAGTCATTTTTCTGCTTCCTGCAGTGTGGTACTAAAGCTCTCTGGCCAGGTATTGGGGTGCAGGACTGCTTGTATAGGCATGGGGATTATGCCCTTCTGCAGAAGAGTGTAGTGCAGGGAGCAAAGGTCCAAACTCAGGTCGCTAGGGTTTGAATCCCACCCTTGCCCCTTCCTACCTGTGCGACCTTGGGTGAGTTAGTCAATCCCTCTATGCCTGAATTTCTCCTTTTATAAAATGGAGATAATAATCGTACTGACAAAATAGGTTGTGGCAGGAATTACAGAGCCAATATCTGTAAAGTGTGGGGAATGGGCCGGTACCTAATAAGAAAAAGGTTAAGTATTGGTCGTCATTATCCTGCTCTTGGGAATTCTCTGGTCTCGGAGATGGGACAACCTCCCAGCTTCCTTAATAAACCATCCCCCTCTCCTTCAATCTGCTAGCTCCAAGGGTCTCCAGGCAGGATCCGCCCTTATCAGGATTTTTAAAATCCCTCCTCCTCTCCCCCGTTGTGGTTCTTGCAAATGGAACTGTGTAGAGAGGGCGGGGGCGTGTGTCCCCTGGGTGGACGGGGGACGGCTCATCTCCTGGCTAGGCTGCCTGCCTGGGCTGCCGCTGGTCGGAACGGGCTCACCACCGCGGCCGCCGGGACTGGGAACAGGGCTTCTCCCCGGGCGAGGGCATGCGACGCTGCGGGGTTTCAGCCCACACCTTTGTGTGGGTCTGAAGGAAGCGGGGATGCTTCTCCACTGATCCATGCGTTTCCAGGTGCAGCCCCTCCACGCCCCTCCCGTCAGTGATCCCGCCAAAGCGACCCGCTCCCTCTCCGAAGCGAAGAGGACTGCTCTGGCCGGTCCCTCCGCCCAGACGCGGCGCAGAGCCTCCTCCCTTCCAGCCCAGGCGGCGCCTTCCCCCGGGGCCACTCGGCTTCCAGCGCGTTCCCAGGTGAAGCCTCCAGAGCGGTTCCCCTCGGGCTGCCCTGGGAGTCTCAGCGCCCTCGGCACAACCTGTTCCTCCGCGCTGCCGGCTCCGCCTCCCGCCCTCGCCCCCCCGCGGGCTGCGCCCGG